TCAGAAATTTCAACTCACTAATACTTATATCTCATATAAATCAAGTGATGTAAAGTGGTGAAATGTGTGTTTTAAAGTGTAAATTCGATTACGGAGTAATCCTTCTTGGGACGTCATTACTAGTCTTTGGAGCATGCGTGTCGAATTTCGCATCGACAGTTAAATTTTACACAAATAACATGGTGATACTGGATCTAATAGTAGGGTCTACAGTTGTTAGAAGTTTGTGCATTAGAAATCTTAAGTCATTTGAAATGAACTAGAAAACAACGTATAAAATATGGTTTCTCAATTTAACAGTAGTACAGCCACGCGGCCCCTTTTTTTTCGGACGGATGTGCCGGCTCGAACCGGGGTGGTACCACAACCTTACAGAATACCAGCGTGGACACGTCAGAGAGGTCATCTCTTCGACGCCTTGGCAGTTTTGAAGGTACGGACCTATCCATCCTATGGCTGCGCGTAGACAGCAACGGAGATACCCGTGTCTACGGGTGCTTCTATAGGCCCCGTAGCAGTAGTGCCGACACAGACCTACTCATCGACCACGCCTTGTGCAGACGACGTGGCTGCAGACTCCGTAATACAACAGGTCCCATCCACAGAGATCGTGATCCTCGGTGATTTAAACGCCCACCACGTTGAATGGATTGGTTCCTATTTAACCAATCATACAGGTAGATCTGTTTATGACTTCGCCTTGGCATATGGCCAACTAGTAACTTCGTCTACGCGCTTTTTTTGCATCCTACCTTTAGGAGCGGGTTTGCTTCTCGCCGGATGATTCCAAAGTTGTTGCTGATTCTGTCGCTGATGTGGTAGTTCAGGAAATGGAACTTTTTATTTCATTATCTGTTGTGTCTATCTGAGGCAAAACTTATTCATGGTTTGGTTACTCCTGTAAAACAGCATCACGCCATAAGCAGAAGTGCTACCGGGAATGGTGATCTTCCAGTCTACCTGACTCATATATGAGCGGAGATAGTAGAGTCCAAAGGGGAAGCTTTGGCCGTTAGTTTGGACATAACGAAGGCCTTCGATCGGCTTCGGCGCAAACCTATTTTTTCAAAACTTCCTGCCTATGGGCTTCCCGAGAAATTGTGGAAATGGATCACCAGTTTTCTTGCAGAACAATGTCGTAGTAGACGGTGCTTGCTCCGATCACGAACCTATTATGCTGGTGTTTGACAAGGCTGCGTGCTATCACCAACGCTGTGTTTTTGCATATCAATGATACGTTGCAAACCGGTGACATTCACTGCTATACGGACGACAGCACTGGCGATGCTTTATACACCGGCTGTCTCAATATTTCCCGTAAAAACGTCGCCAATTACCAGAACAAACTTGTGTCTGAAGTCGAGACTTTGTTGTACAAAGTGCCGGATTGGGGGCGACTACATTTATTCCAGTTTAATCCCCAGAAGACACAACTTTGCGCGTTTACCGCTAAGAAGAACCACTTTGTTGTATCTCCGACATATCGAATGACGTGCAGTTTCGTAGTCACTTGGAAGAAAAGGCCAAATTGGCCTCTAAAAAGCTTGGCATGCTCAGCAGAGCGGTACCGTATTTCATGCCGTCATACCACCTGCCACTATACAAGGTGCAGGTTCAGTCTCACATGGATTACTGCTCCCATCTCAGGGCTGGGGCTCTCCAGTGCCAGCTTCATTCACTTGATCGCATCCAGCGCACAGTGGTTCGAATAGTCGGCGACCGAGCTCTTTCTGACAGTCTTGACTCACTTGGTTTAAGGCACAGCGAGGAAATGTTGCATCTCTTTGTGTATTTTATCGCATTTACCACGGAGAGTATTCTGAGAAGGTTCTCTGTGAAGTTCAGATTAATTCCAGCCGCTCAATTTTACCATCGCACATCGCGAAAAAACTCGCGATACCATCCATACCATTTGAATGATTAGCGGTCTACCACTGTGCGATTTAGAAGAAGTTTTCTTCCTCGCACAACTTCCTTGTGGAATCGATAACCACCAGCGATTTTTTCAGATCGATACGACTTAGGGACTTTCAAGAAAAGAGCCAATCCTTTTTTAAAAGGCCGCCAAAGCACATGTGATTCTCCTGGTGTTGCAGTTGTACATGGATGGCGGTAATCACTTACCATCAGGTGAGTCGCATGCTCGTTTGCCCCCTACTCTATAATAATGCATCTCGTATGTAGATATATTATGTAGAAATACTAATGAGAGTGTATCTTACTAAGTATGTTGGACACGTTCATAGTCATGATCTTAGGGATTGGGTGGACAAAACAGATAAACATGAGAAGGTGCATAAAACATATAAAAAAGAAAAACGAGCTGTAGCAATTAGCAGTACCATTCTAGTCTGCATGTTGTTTTTAAATTTTCTGCTATATAATGCTAATTTGTTTTGCTTATCCTTTTTAAAGCCTTCTGCGGGAGAAGTTGAATGAGTAGGCTGTAGACTTTATTAAAAAATCGATTCCTTCGTTTGTAATTAATTTATTAATTTATTCATAATACATACATACAGATACACACAGATTATTTTATATGTTCTAAGAATAAAGAAAGGTAAAAAAGGTACAATTATAAAAAAAAACCTTTTTTAATTTGAGACCAGAGACGGAGTAGAGGCAAGGCTTAAGTCGAGCCAGGCATCATCCACGCTAATATTATGGTGAATGGCTTGTAAAGTTAAAATGTGGAAGCCAACACAATCGATAATTTAAGGAGGTTAGAGAAACGTGTTAAGTGTGGAAACTTACACGCAAACCTTAAGAAAAAGAAATTACAGATACAGTATGATACGAGAAAGAAGAAACTAGAATTTAACAAAAGAAATCAAAGCGAGATATATATTGACACCACCCCCCTCCGATGAATTCGATCATAGCGTATCAGTGTGAAGCCAGGGAGGTAGAAAGAAGATGGGGCTTAAACCAAGTCTCCGAAATCAGGACGGCATAAAAATTAACATCAGAGAAATCCTCATTCATATCACTGTAGTTACTAGAACGTGATTGGTCAAACGTATATCGCACGAAAGCGTAGCATCTCAGTAACAGCAATAACTGTCATCGTTTGGTAATGAACAAAATTCATTAACAAAAAGAAAAAAATTGGTAAATCCAAATGGGCATGCCTTAAGCGCATTAAAAAAATTACGTATAACATGATGATTATACGGAAAATTTTAAAGTAGTTTAAATACATTTCGACAGCACTATCGGCTTCAACACCCTCGAAAACCATGAAAATGACACCCATGATGAAAAAATTGGTACCTAATTCAGCCGCCATCTTGGATTTACATTTCGACAACCCTATCGGCTTCAACTCTCTCGAAGACCATGAAAATGACACCCATGATGAAAAAATTGATAGCTATTGCAGCCGCCATTTTGAATTTACATTTCGACAGCACTATCGGCTTCAACACCCTCGAAAACCATGAAAATGATACCCATGATGAAAAAATTGATACATATTGCAGCCGCAACTTTGGATTTACATTTCAACAGCACTATCTGCTTCATGACACCCATGATGAAAAAATTGGTACCTAATTCAGCCGCCACCTTGGATTTACATTTCGACAGCACTATCGGCTTCAGCACCCTCGAAAACCATGAAAATGACACCCATGATTATAAAATTGATACCTCTTGCGGCCGCCATCTTGGATTTACATTTCGATGTCACCAATGACAAAAAATTGATACTACTTACTTTTAGTACGTACTACTGTTATTTATTCTGTGCTTTTAAAATATTGTAATAAAAAATCTCTCATTATTATTATAATCAAGTATTTAAGAAATTTGGTTATTCGAATATTGTGTATTTGTACAGCGATCTTTTTGAGCCGCTGCAAACAACCGAAACAATGTCCACTCACGACGGCGACTGACGCCGAACTGAGTGATTGAGTAAACTACTGTGTGGCTGTAGCTCCCTATTTACAGAAATAATTTACATACAAGGCTACCAAATCAACGAAAATTGCGCCATTTTGGAGCCGAAAAAAATTAATTATAGCTAAACAAAATAAAATTACACTGCCATTTACATTCAGTGGCTTCCCACATGATAGATGAAGAGACTAAAAAATAGATTGCGTTAAACAATTGATATTTTCAGAAGTTATCGTGTTTACAAGCCTTGGGGCCATGATAAATCCACACCATAAGCCACTAAAGCCCCTTTTTTATTTAAAAATAGCAATTAATCGATTTAAAAAAAAATATTAATAAGTTCAACAATCATTTATCTTTCTAACAATGTGCTTTTCATATAATTTATATGTATTATATGAGTGCTAGATACGATTTTATTCGATAAAACGCTGGAATCTTAATTTTTAGGCGATAGTAGAACATACCTTGCGCTTTCGCTTAAGGCATGCAATAATCATCATCAGAAATCACCTCTAGATAGATATATAGTATATAAATAAATAAATAATGCAAACCTGTACATAGTAATTATAAGAATAAATAATATGATATAATTAAAACTATACCGCTACCAAATAAGTGCTCTCTTACAGAGCGCAATTTTAATTAATAATTAATTTCATATTTTTTATACAACTGAAGTGACTAACGAATGTACACTCTACCCAATCTTAATTAGCTACTGCAGCCCATGGATATCTGCAACCAACTTCAAACAAAGAAGACTAAAGATGCATTGTCACCTTTTTGGACTAGGATTTGTTCGTCACAGCCTGTAATTATAGGGCTCCGGCCCTTCAAACTGGAACACAACAGTAGAAGCACTACTATTTGGCGTAAAAGTAGGTAAGAAGATGGTCCAGACGGATTTCTTGGCAGATAAGGAGTCCTACCATCTACATATATATCGTGGTGTACGTAAAATAAATAGCCTAAAAAACGTTTATAATACTTTTATAATAAGTTTCGGTAATTAAAAATTCATGCAAGTATTTATGAATGAATTATCTCAATAAAGTTAAGTTATTTTTTTACTGTTCTATTTTTTTACTTACCCCATAACCACGGAAATCCCAGCAGGTAGTGAGTGCAAATCGCTGTTGCGACTACCTCTATGGTCCAGGGTAAGCAACCCAGTGCCGCTACTTGCTTCCAATTATTCTTCATGTAATTTAAATCCCACGCTAATGATCCTTTTCCAAGGATGATAACGGGGTAAATTTTTCTGTCGAAAAATTAACAATTTTGTAACGTTAATTATTGTTGCATCGCCTCTTATATGTATGTCTCAATGTAGCCTAATGCAAAACTGGGAGAGAATGAGAATGCCCTATGGAATTAAGTCCGCCATATACTTTATGCATGGAAGTATAAGTGAATAAATTTTTAATTTCTTTTTATACAAGGTTGGGTGCCGTTAAATAATTAATATTTATTTCTGGGAAGAATAATTAGTCTACCGTCCCGCGAGTGTTATAAAAAGCAATCATGGGATATACTAAAAAAAACTTCTGGTTATCGATATGTAGCTGTATAACCATCTCGTTCACATCATGAATAAAACACGCATACCGTTGACGGAATGCAGCGTCAAAGAAGCGAGACATTTGGCACTGTGTTTGGCAATTTACATTCCTTTAGCAGACAGTTATGGAAAATCTTTCCTACAGACAGACTTCATCAGTGAATCCCGCAAGACATCTCCAGCAGTGGAGTTTTCTTATTGCTCTCTTTATTTAAAAAAATAATTCTATTTACATTAACTACCTTTTTTTAAAAAAATAATTCTATTTACATCAACTAACGTTTCCTTTAACCATTTCTGGTCAGCTTAAAATGCTTGTGTCAGGAGCGGTTCACGACAGTAGTCAAATGGCGGATTCGAATCCACGACCTTTGAGTTCGCGGTCCATCCCTACCATTATCAGTGGCAGGCTAGTGTCGCTGATACCATCCTCTTACCTCTTTCTGCCGCTAAACAGTAGTGCTCTGCTCCAGCACAATTATAGGCTGTGAGTCATTCCATCTTAGTCCCCAGAGGTAATATCGCACCTGTAGCCTTTTATGCTTGAATTTGGTTGCAGGTGTCCACGGGCATCAGGCGGACGTTTACGTATGTTTGTCACTTTGTCACTTTTAACACATAAAAAACATAAATCTCTATAAACATCAATTGCTGTCCGTTAGTCTCGCAAAAAGTAGAAAATGAATGAAATGATTTTGATACAATTTTTTGTGATTGTTTGTTTTTTATGGAACCCTGGATGATTTAGATTCACAATTGGACCCAGTAGGTGGCGCTGTCGTCGAGATCCAGAAATCACCCATACGAAGCTGTGGCGGATCGCTAGTATTAAATAAAATTCAATCGTATTCAAAGTACATATGTAACGATCGTAGATATTTCCTGATATTTTAAACACATAATAAGTTAAATCATTTGAGATATTAAGTATGAATAACTTTTTGGAATACTTTAATAGACATTAATACCACGAAATTACGCTAAGTGTAGTCCCTTATAACAAATCCGCACACATTAAAGCTTATGACTGCATTGCTTTCATTTTATTTAGGATTTAGTTTTTCTTAGTTATGCAGTAATAAGTTAATTAGTCTATTATTTCTTTACACCTGACTTCAAAAAAAAGAAGGAAGTTCTCAAGTCGACTGTACTTTTTTATGTGTGTTACCTCAGAACATTTTTCTAGATGAACCAATTTTGATGATTCTTTTTTATTTGAAAGCTGATGCTGAGCTTCTCATGCGGTCCCATATAAATTTGATCAAGATCTGACCATTAGTTTTTGAGTTATCCTTAATAATGAGTATTTAATTAACTTCGACTACATTGACGATGTTCTCATTTTATATGCCGACTTCCAAAAAGGAGACGGTACTCAATTCGACTATATGTTTTTTATATGTGTTACCTCATCACTTTTTACTGGGTGAACCGATTTCGATGATTCTTTTTTATTTCAAAGCTGGTACTTCTCGTGTGGTCCTATATGAATTTAATCAAGGTCAGACCAATAGTTTTTGAGTTATTACAAATTTTTTAATTTTAAAATATTTAAATTGAAATCGGTTGTACAAAATTTCCAATCTTACCACTTGTGTAGCATGGGTGTTGGTGTTTGTCTTAATATATAATTTCATTCATTCTTTCTTACTTTTAAAATTTTATCAAGAAAACAAAGTGTGTTATGAGAGCAACTAACATCAGTCTCATGTAAAACAAGGAGGACTTTGTGTTTCTAATCAAATAATGCATAAAGATATAAACTACTTAAATCTAAATTACAGTTTAATTTTTAAAAATAATTAAAAAATTATTACCTTAAAAATAAATCGATTTCAGGATATGACCGCATATCAAGAATACCAAATTGTCGGGCACAAATACCGGTTAACAGAGCAGCAAGAAGTGGCGGCAACGTTGTTAACTCTTGTAGAAGAAGACCACTGCCCCAAGCCACTAATGCGACCGCAGTTAGCCGAAACCACTGTCCATCCCATCGCCATCCATTGCCAAAAGCACACCATAATAAGCCCCACGTTAAAGTACCTTTAAAGTAAAAAAATATTCATTAAAACCAATCAAAGTCCACTCCTAAACATAGGCCTTCCAATAGATATACCACATAAGGAGGATATTTGTCATAGTTGCCATACCTACGCAGTATTTTTTTTACTTATTATAAGCCAGTGCTTAACCACAATCCCACCTGGTGGTACTTATTTACTATTGCCTTGAAGACGCCTAGATTGTATTCGGACGGAAAGATAGACGCCGGCAAATTATTCCACTCCTTTGCTGTATGTATTACAAAATACGAAGCAAGCCGTTTGGTTCTAATGCGTTGTATATCGACAACAAAGGGCTGAAGACCCGCCGACCGTCTGGTTGTCCTATGGTGGAAAGGAGAGGGAGGTGGAGGAGGACGTTATTTTCTAGTCATAGTATTATTAGAAACACTCTGTCGCCTCCTTGCCACACACACGGGATGATAGGGGGTTGTGGATATTTAAACACCATCACTACATGCTTAAAATTATTATTTAAAAACAAAGAACCCGATAACATTGTTCCATTGGTGACTTTTAATATAATATTTCATATACAAACTATATATTATAATATCAGGGATGTACTTTACAATGTATATTATAAGTTTATTTAGCTATTTGATATAATGATGTGTGCCTAGTCAATTTTGATCACGGCGATAAATTCTGAATATCTGGAAATTATGCCACAAGTGTAATTGTGCAAACGTAGAGCATGCATGTGATTGGAGGTTTATAAACTGCCACTTTACTTTAAATGCTCTATATGTATATATATATATATATATATATATATATATATATATATATACATACATACATGCACAAATATATAAATTACTTCTACTTGATCTGTTGTAGAAAGGCTCGTATATTATTTTTTATTTTATTTAATAAAGCTTAAATTAAGGGTATATAGGGTGGACTTAAAGCCATGTGTCATTCTCTACCAGTCACTTATGTGTGCCAAAGACAGGTTGGCAGGTGCAAAACATATTACTTATTAAATCTTCTTTGGTAATGTTTGGTAGCTTTCTTAACACTTAAATTCATCCATCACAGCCCATAAGCCCATCCACTGCTGGACATAGGCCTTTTCCGAGACCGCCCTATAAGGGCCATAGTTGCCACACTTGGCAGATGTGTTGCCAACTTTTTTTTATTTTCGTGTTGTTATTAGGAGGACGCTGTTGGCTATCTACTGGTTTGTTTCCTTCTGTCACCTTTTACGATATCCTCCGGGTGATATAGAGTAGTGGATAGTCTTATATAACCACCACACGGTTAAAATTGGAATACATTTGCATAATATGTTTTAACTGTAATAACATGTATTAGTTTTTTGATGATAAACCCTTAATTATCTAAATATTGATCACGAACGTAAGAGAAGGCCTTCATCTAAGATAAAGATGAGACACGGTTCTAAGCAATTTATACACTTGATGCACATGTATTTTCAAGTGTTTACTCGTCCATGTCTCAGTTACATAAGGTCATCACTGGTATCTTGTGTGCATCTTTGTTTAAGGTAAGTTTTGTTATTTTCTCGAACACACAGCATAGTTGGATTCAAGGACTGACCGAGGGTGGCCTTACGTAAAGGAATGGTTTTTCCTAGGTAAAAATTTTTTTTTATAGGAGATGGTGCAAACGAGCATGCGGCTCACCTGATGGTAAGTGACTACCGCCGCCCCAACACCAGGGAGGGAATTGCAGATGCGTTGCCGGCCTTTTAAAAAGGAGTACGCTCTTTTCTTGAAGGTCCCTAAATCGTATCGGTCCGGGAAAATCGCTAATGGTAATCGATTCCACAAGGAAGTCGTGCGAGGAAGAAAACATCTTCTAAATCGCACAGTGGTGGACCGCCAGTCATCCAGATGGTGTGGATGGTATCGGTAGTTCTGCCGCGATGTGCGTTCGTGAAAAAATATTCAACTTCGAGCATAGTGTACCCAACAACTACCGTAATATATCATGAATGCTAGACATGATCTTCGTTATGTCCATATTACGAAATAGGATACGAAATACATATTTTCGTTTTATTATTAATAATAATATTGGCGTATAAAAGTGATGATCCTATCGCCCACTGACGTAATAGTTAACTGGTACTTCTATATTATAATCGGAACATGGGCATTTCACTTCTAAAGAACCAAGTTCATATTTGCCGTCTAGATTAGCACCCAGAAATGAATATTTGTGGTATATATGTAAACTACAGTCATGTATGTTAACATTTAAAGTCCTTTCTAATTTTCGGGACGCTTTACACTCGTCTTTGTTGCTATTTTTGGAACGAAGTTCCATATCGCACGGTACGAATTTGACGGATGGGGGCTAGGCGAGAAAAAGTGTAAGATTTTTCCGTCACGACTCCCTTTCTATAGTACGAGCGAGTTGGAATAATATTCATCTCCCTCACACTTTTTCTTACTTGCCATGAAAGAAATATTGCTTTAAATGACGCTTCATTTTAATAGACGCTAGTAATTCATTTATTTGTATTTGTTAATCAATAATATAATACGTTTATCAATAATAATATACTACGAAAGGACCATCGTTTTCACCGAGTGTTCCACGACACTCACGCATTTTTTTATAGATGATACATTGCTTAAATCGCAGCCACACAGTAATTACTTGGCAAGGACAGCACAGTTAGTATTTTCAAGCCGCTTGCAAACTCTGGCAAACCATGAAGCTGTCAACTCTTCTTCTAGTTTTCAAGAACAAGTTTGCACTCTGTAAAACTCCCATAACACATTATCCTCTTTTTTTTTTTGGAGTTTATGGCCTGGTATCTAGACCTTTAGGCCAAGTCTTAAGTATTTTTATTCGGTTTATTGTAATTTCCCCACTCCTTCATAGTATACTGCTTCACAATATGTTGATGCGTCACATTGTGCAGTTCTTGGGAGATTTTGGCGGCAACTTGATCCAGCAGACAGCTGATAGTTGGCGATGGTATCTAAAGGTGCCTATGCAAACAAACAGCTTATCTTGAGAATCCATCACCATCAGAGCACTTGTTTCACTGTTTCCACTAATAGTTCACATGCGTAGACACTTAATACACAAAATCGCAACACTTTTACATATCAAAGTCCACTTCAAACCATTATTTAAACAATAATACAGGAGCAGCAAACCGACGCCGGTCAATTTCCCGCCAAAACCCCACATTATCCTCTTATGCATTGCAAACGTTGCCAGAGCGCCGAGCGGTGTGACCTTTCTCTGGAAAGCCCGTCTGTCTAATTTGAATTGATCCGAACGCGGAGTTTTATTGTGCTTTTAAAATATTTATAGAAAAATGTAATGCTTAATTATTATTAATTTTAAAGGAGTTTAAAAATATTCTAAGATATTAAGTTATTATTTTTTTTTTGTTAAATCTAGTAACATAATACAATAATTGGTGAAAATAATCGTTTTATCCACAGCATTTTCAAAAAAAAATTCATCAAACTATCTTTTCTAGTAACTGTTTTCCTTGGGGTTTGTCAAATTGATTGTCATTTTTTTGTTTTGTAAAGTTGTCAGCCATTTCAGATATTTAAATGCTTTGAAATAACGCTAAAAGGGAAATTAAGAAAACCTCTGTTTAGTTTTCTTGATAGCATCGACAAATACTCCTTCCAAAAATAAAAAAAATTAATCTAACTATTTAGACCACAAAATTTCCTAAAGTTATGAATAATTAAAATTTGTGTAAGATAAGTGGTAGATGGATATTAACAGGTTTGAAAGTACCGTTTTGAGCTAATCAGCGCTTGGAACATATATACGTCCTTAATAATATGTACAATATTTATGATAAATAACTTGTTTTATTATTGAGAAGAGGTGAAGCGTAAACATGCTGTCAGAAATACGCGGATAGGTAGACGGGGCACTATGAAATCTCTTTTTTTGCTCGTTTTTAGGGTTTCGTAGTTAAACAACAAGGAACCCTTATAGTGTCGCCATGTCCGTTCGTCCATCCGTGCGCGTTTTTAGTCAGTGACCTTAGCCACAAAGCCATAGTTATATAAGGGCAAATTACAGCTGTACTAGTTTAAAAATAAGATATCTTAACCGAACTATGTTTTAAGTTATTTCTGTTTTTAATTTTTTTTATAGGATAAGGGTGACAAACGAGTACACAGTCCACCTGATGGCAAGTGGTTGCTGTGGCCCATAGACATCTACATCTATCCTCGATTATAAATCAAAATGTAGATGCGTGACAATCCGTGAGGACTAAGATGGAATACCTCATTTCCACTAAAAAGGGTCTCCGGTTCTCTACACTCACCATACGAAACACAGCAGCGTTAAGCTGCTATTTTATGCTGGTATTCTGTGAGAGTGTCCTTCCCCGGTCGAGCCGACCCATTCGTGCTACAACTATACTACTAATACAGCTGCAGCATGGCTCTACCACGTAAGTCCTTTACTTAATTTTTTTTTTACAGTTTAAAATAACATTACAAAGTTATAATGCAGCTAGTGTATGTTATTTTCTATGAAATTGTAACGAAACTTTTATTAATTCAGGTGTATTTTATAAGTTTGTCAACTATTACACGTTAACTTGTGAAGCCTACTTAGCTGTAATAGTTTTTCTTTTAATTTTATTATAAATAGTACTACTATTATGACTTAATTTTCCAAAATTATTCACAATTCAAAAAACAACGGTTTAGTTGATATAGGGTCGGACTAAAGGGTACATGACTTTAATAAAAATACAACTTTAAAGCTAAATATTTCACAAACGAACCCCTGAAATCAAAAATGTTGATCCATACCCCCAATATTTTTAAAACTCGATGGGAAAGACATTTAAAAAAACTTATATGGGCAGTATCTAAAATAAAAATACTTTGTAGCTGTGATTAATATCGCTATCGATATCGCTGCCCTAGTTCAATCTGCATTTTGATTCGCAAACGAGGATAGATGTAGATGTCTATGGCCCGCAGCAACCACTTACCATCAGGT